AATCATTACTTTAATAAGACTTTAATATGATGAGATGATCTTCAAAATCAACCAATCATAATAAAGCCCGCTATGCTGTTAAAGACAGCATATATAGCTGCATCAATCTTATGTAATATCGATATGTATTAATTTCCAAATTATTGGTTTTTTTATTGTTTTGTTGTGTAACCGTGTTAAATTTTATTTTGTAGGTTGCATTTGGGGTCTTGTACGTATTAAAACTTGCATGCATCTTTGTTGTTAGTGCACACAGTGATGGATTGTGAAAATTTGTTGGTGTTAACTAGAGTACATTATTGATTACTTGCTTTATTTAAACGTAATCCTTGGGGGATGGTTATAGTAAACAAGTGATACATTATTACATATATTCATACGTATTTGTTTTATCATAAATATGTAACGTTACAAATTTGGATTTTAGGGAACATTAAACATTATAAGTAATTACTAAACCAATCGCATTTTAAGAAACGTAAATCTTATCACTAATATTTTTTATATTTATAATTGCAAAGATTAAATCCTAACTTATAGATCTATCTTCATGCAAAAAAAAATCAAGCCAGTATGGCGGCTTTATCAACACCAAACAAAATAATTTTGCTTACTGCTGTCGTACTTGTTTTGCTCACATTAGGATATTATACGCGAAGGGACATTGTTATAACGGTTCCCTTTCCAGTGTATACCGAAAATTCCTCAGAAGGTATTTGATTTTGCAATTAAACTATTTAGCATTTGCTCGAGATGAATGGCTAACTGTTCATTATTATCACTGCAATAATAGCTACAGTAAGTTTCCTAGTATAAATTTCTGTGATCCTGACGCTATAATCACGGCGTTCATATCTGATGATTCAACATTTCCGACAGTTCGAAATCTCGACAGCTCAAAATTTCAATTTTATATCTGCATTTTAAATGAGCTTTCGAATTTTTTTCGATTTTGATATCGTGGAATATAGCGCCTAGGTTATGGATCCTTATCACAGGTGCAAAGTTTAATAACTTATTGATCAAAAAAATTTACTAAAGTTCTATCTTATTTAGATTTTACAAAAAAATTTAAATGCTACGAGAATTCTTGTTTGCGGTGGTGCTGGTTATATCGGTTCTCATCTTGTTCGAGAACTTTCAACTCAGCAGGATTACGAAATTATTATTGTAGACAATCTTTCTAAAGGTCATAAAAAATCAATTCCCAAAGGAATTAAATTCGAAAAAGCTGATATTCGTGATAGGTTAGCTCTTGATCGAATATTTTCTAAATATAAACCAGATGTTGTAATGCACTTTTGCGCTTCAACTTCTGTCGGAGAAAGCGTAGCTGATCCTTTAGGATATTACGAGAATAATGTAGCTGGAACTATTTATCTGCTTCAAGCAATGAAAAAGCATAATGTCAAGTATTTCATTTTTTCATCTAGTGCCGCAATTTTTGGTAATGCAAAAGAAGTGCCCATTCCAGATGATGCTCGGCCAGAACCAATCAACCCTTATGGTTATACTAAATTTGTCGTTGAGAAAATACTTGCGTCGTCTGAAAATGCCTATGGATTGAAATATATTTGTCTTAGATACTTTAACGCTTGTGGTGCGCACGAAAGTGGTGATATTGGTGAAGATCATCATCCAGAAACACATTTAATACCACTTATTCTTCAAGTGGCACTTGGTCAAAGAGATAGTATTAGTATTTTTGGTGATGATTATGAGACTAAAGATGGAACTTGTGTGCGAGATTACATACATGTTACTGATCTTGCTACCGCACATATCAGGGCGCTCGAGTATCTCGTAAAAGAAAATAAATCACAATCATTAAATTTGGGATCCGGAGAAGGCTATACAGTCAAAGAAGTAATTAATGCTGCTAGAAACGTTACCGGCCATCCCATTCCTGACATAGTAGAGGCCCGCAGAATTGGTGATCCTGCAGTGCTGATTGCTGAATCTACACATGCTGAAAAAATTCTTGGCTGGAAGAGAAAATATAATACAATTGAAAGTATTGTTGCTAGTGCATGGAAATATCATAAAACTCATATAAATGGATATAATTAGATTATTTTTAATGTAAATATTAAAATTATACATTACTAGATTGTATGAATTATTTAATCTATCCAACCTATCTAAATTTTAATAGTTATAAAACATCTTACATTTGTAAATATTATATACCACAGTAAAGTTTGGCTTTAAAAGTTGGTACTTCTGAAACTAAACTTAACTTATTAGTAATAATTGTAAAGAACCAACATGAGGTTGGTCCAACGTGAGGTCACTTAGTATTTTTTTATGATTACTAATCATTAGCGAACTTTAAATACTAATTGACCTCACGTTGGACCTGCCCATCTTAGTTCCTCACATTAACTATAGAAGTATATTAGTCTACATAAACGTATTTAATTTATTTTTTTTAATTAGATGCTTAAAATATTTAAAGTTAAAATATATCTCGTTTATATTAGTTTAAATATTATTAGCTATTAGATCCGTTTTTAACCAACTGGTTAGATTTAAACATTTTTAATTATTGACATTTAATAAATTAAGATCTTATTATAATATAATTATAAGACCTTTGAAATCTTTTAAATACCTGAAGAATTGGATAAATAACAGTTAGCTTAACTTATAAAGGTGTCATCAATCAAACGTAACATAGTGAGATTAAAAAAGTAGGTACACGAGATTAATTGTAGCATGTTATTGTAACAATTTCCTTAGTATAATAAACTATACAGGATATCAACATTAACGAAGGCCATATTGTTTTCATAACCCGACCGGATTATAAAAGCTAAATTGTAAAAATTAAATTTTATATATTATATATATAGCTGATACTAAATAGCTGTGCCATTGCTGCGTCATGCTACACCATACATTATAATAACTCGTGCTTTTAGTTAATAATTATTATTAATTATTAATAATGCGAGAGGTCCCATCACTGCCGTTGAGTTCCAGAGCGCCGCTTCATATTATACAAATAAAGATTTGAAGTTACTTGACAATGTCTATTAATATGCAAAATGTTAATAAAAACTCTCTTAATATAAGTGCATACCTATTATATACTTATCTCTTTGTTCACTGAAAATTTAAGAATACTGTAATCAACTTTTGTGAACTAATTTAGTACCGTGATTGAGGTTAATACAATGTAATTATATAATGATTAGCTATACAAAAGAATGCGATAATTTAATTAAGTTCTCATTGTATTTAAATTCAAAGTGGTTTGCAATCAGCTTTAAGAAAATACATAAAGTATTATTTTTAAAGATTTTTAAATACTAATTTAAGGTGTTCTCAAGCATCTCACTCAATGGATCGGAGGCAAATTTTTTATAGTAGGAACTTGGATAAATTAACCAAGTGAGCTGCCATTGCGATAAACAGATCTACAAACCATCTTTTTTCTTCAAAAATTTACTATTGATGAAGGTCGCTTAAGCATCACTTTTAATTTTTTACATATCAAATATAATAAACAATGAATTCTCAACAAATTTCTAACCAATATGAAAAAATGAAATACTTGACATTATGCTTTTTCATTGCTTGAAGCAGATAAATAGTTCCAGCT